ATCTGTTGCTTATAACAAAATACCCGGAACTAGGTAATTTGTAAGAAAACAAAATTTTTTGCTTACAGTTTCAGAGGCTGGGATGTCCAAATTCCAGGGAACACATTGGTGAAGGCCTTGGTGGTAGCTTTACAGCAATGGAGATGTCTCACGTGGCATATTGTGAAAATGGCAGAGCAGACACAGACACAGACTCCTTGTGCTCTCCTTTTAAAACCCTCAAAACCATGCCCCATCACCATTATTAATCCATTCACTATAGCATGTCCCTACAATCTAATCACCTCTTCAAGGCCCCACCTTTCAATTATCATAATAGGATTTCCTCCCCTCTGAACACTGTCACAATGGGGGTTAAGTTTTAGGGGGGACATTCCACCCAAGGCAGTACCCCACAAATATGTACGAGTAAATGTTAAAATATTTTGAATAAAGAAGAGGTTAAAAAAAAATGTAGACTCACAGGCCCCAGACCTACTGAATCAAAACCTGCATTATAGCAAGATCCTCCAGTGATTTGTATGTATAGAGAGGCTTGAGAAACACAGTCTAAGATTTTTGTAGATTCATAGCTCCACAATTGTTTTGACTCCTTTTCCCTCCAAATAAATTGTGTGCTTTAAGTAAAAGCCAGAGCGTGGAGGAAGAGGAAAGAGTAAAGCAAAGGGTAGTGAATACCACAGTGTGGCAGTGGCAGTGGCAGGGTAACTGGACACATTGAGGTGGTCACTCACTTAGGCTGAAGAAACTCTTTCCCTTTTGTCCTCCTTCCCTCTTAGACCCCTGTTACACTTCCCTCTGTGTAACCAAGATGAAAAAAAGAGAAAGAAAGAATTCACTCAAGGTAACATGAATAAGGCTTGGAGGGACTGCTGTCCATCAGGGGAGCAGCCATGATTCAAAATCCGCCTTTTTTTATTGACAAGACAAGGAAGTTTCACAAGAAAAATCAGTTGATTCAATCATCAAAGAAGGACATAAAAGCAAACAGTATAAAACCAGTAACAGCAGTAAATTAACAATGTGACATTCCAGAATGCAATTTGTAAAAAGTTAAGTCGATCCACCAACAAACAGCTTGCCCTTAGCAAACATTTTCTTTTCCACCTACTTCCCTACAGCAATTTCCTTAGCATATTTAAACAGTATTCCAGCAGTTTCCTTAACATACCTTAAGAACAATCAGTAGGTTAAATAGTCAAAAGTCCTTCAAGCCAGAATCAAATCAGCGACCTAAAATAGTCAAAGTGCACAATCCCATCCCTAAACAGTGATTAGAATTGATTAGATGGCTTTTGCCAAAACTTTTCTGTGAACTGTTGTCCCCTACTCAAGAGCCTGTTAGCTCCATACATGGATTACCTAAAAATCCTATTCTAAGATCAAAGGACAATCAAAATTTCTAACCCACTACAGACCCTTCCATTCCTTGGCATGGAATATTAAACTGATCAAGTGAATAAATGGTAACAAGTCAATACCCCTTTCTCCTGCCTTCCCTTTTACATTTTTTTCTCTCTTTTCCAGCAGTTTCCTTAACATACCTTAAGAACAATCAGTAGGTTAAATAGTCAAAAGTCCTTCAAGCCAGAATCAAATCAGCGACCTAAAATAGTCAAAGTGCACAATCCCATCCCTAAACAGTGATTAGAATTGATTAGATGGCTTTTGCCAAAACTTTTCTGTGAACTGTTGTCCCCTACTCAAGAGCCTGTTAGCTCCATACATGGATTACCTAAAAATCCTATTCTAAGATCAAAGGACAATCAAAATTTCTAACCCACTACAGACCCTTCCATTCCTTGGCATGGAATATTAAACTGATCAAGTGAATAAATGGTAACAAGTCAATACCCCTTTCTCCTGCCTTCCCTTTTACATTTTTTTCTCATTTTTTTTTTTTTTCTTTTTGCAGAAATCCTGTTTGGGGTTTATATATTTAGTGTTTTTTTTTTTTGTTTTGTTTTGTTTTTTCTGAAGAAAAAAAGTTAGAATTTGGAAAGATGACACATAGTCTTATGTTTGACAATATAGCAAATTAGGCTGTCTTCATTTTGCCCAGTTTCACACAGTTTAATATTTACATTTCCTTGGGTAAATATTTCTGCTATGTAAAATGCCTGAAAATGAAACGTTTGTTTTTAACTTTTACACTGTAACTCCCTATTCAATTCAACATTCAAACTAAATGAGATTATACAGAGATAATCAATTATTTTGGGGGGTAACGCCTACCCCTCGGGACATGATATATTGACTCAAATAGGACTAAATTATCTCTCAACTCAGAGGAAGTGAGGAAAAACAAAGGAAAGCTTTTTTTAAAAAAGAATGTCAGCTAATAAATATAGAAAGAATGAACAAATGAAAGCACTTTGTAATTCTCAGCGTAACAGCTGAATCAGGCAAAGCAAGGATCATTAATCTGATCTTAATCCACGAGATAAAAGGTCACTGGGTGTATTAGTTACATATTGTGGTGTAACAAATTATTCCAACATTTAGCAGCTAAAAACAACAAACATTAATTAACTGCCAGTTTCTGAGGGTCAAGGTACCCTGCTGCAGGTCAGTGGGGTGCATCTGGCTTAAGAAAATTATAAACGACCAGTCAGGGCCGCAGTCATTGCAAAACATGACTAGGGCTGAATGATCTGCTTCCAAGTTCACTTGGGCTGTTGGACTCAGCACTTCAGATTTGCCACATTATGTGGGCCACTCCACAGGGTTGCTCACAACATCCTTCGTGTTTCTACCACCACCAGTGATGAGAGATAGAGACAGAAACAGAGAGACGGAGACAGAGAGACCGAACCAGAAGCATGTCTTTTTATAGCCTAAAATTGGAAGTGACAATCTCACCACTTCTGCCATATTCTACCTGTTAGAAAACAGTCAATAGGTCCAGTCCACATTCAAGGTGGGTAGATTACACAAGCTCACGAATGCCAGCAGTGGGGACTACCAGGGTCATCTCAGAAGCTGCCTAGTACAATGAGGAACAATGTTATATACGATGCCGAAGTATTAGCCCACAGATTACATACTGATTAAGGAGAATATGTACCATTACCATTATGTTAGTGACTAAACTGTTAAAGATAAACACAGCTGGACATCAAAGCAATGAAAACAGATTTTATTCAGTAACTATTGACAGTAGGGGAAAGAGCTGAGCTCCATTCTGATTTGTACAGAGGTGCTTTGAGTGTTTTCAAGGAAGAATAAGGGAAAGGGGGGGGCATGGGGGCTCAGTAGAGTCAGAGGTTAAATAGCACAAAGGGTTGGTCTGTGCAAATGTGCTTAGGCCAGCTTATCTAGGACAGGACTCTATCCTCCCACAGAAACTGGAAGGTAGAGGCTCTGTCCTTCCTGATGATTACATTTCAAAGGAATGACTCTCAGATCCTTGAGAGAGATGCTTCTGAGTTGCAAGAGATACATATTAACAATTGTAAGCCCCTTTTAGTAAATCCCTGGAACAAATAGTAAACTTTGAGATTTTTTAGGCAGGCATTTTAAGGGAGGATGGGGTTATTATAGGGATACAATCTTATACTGTTAAAAGTCATGCTAGAGTTTGGTCGTCCCTTAGCTCAGGGGTTTGGACGGATTTATCATGTGCCAAGTGCAGTTCTCAAAACTTAGCATCCTGGTCAAGAGTTCAGATCTCCTTACCAGCCAGCCACAAACAAAACTTGGCATCACTAATAGTGGAACTTACTGATATGATACAATATGAATTTCACAACATCATTGCCAAATGTGTTTAACCTGAATTTAATAAATCTTTATACTTTTTACTTCATAGTACATTGAGTTAACTGGATATATGGATGGATGAAAGTTACCAACAGCATGAGGAAACAGCCAGACAAATCCAGAATATAGGCCAATTCTGTGAAACAATTTTGCTGGACTCTTCAAAAAGTCAATGTCATGTGGGAAAAAAGGAAAAGGGATTAATCTAGAAACTAAAGAAATACATCCAAATGCAATGTATGAATCTTGGTTGGATCTGGATTGGACAAAACCAACAAAGAAAAACAGCTAAAAAAGACATTGGGGGGCCGGCCCGGTGGTGCACTGGATAGTGTGCCGCTTGGGAAGCGCAGCGGCGCTCCCGCCCGAGGGTTCGGATCCCACATACAGACCGGTTCCCGCTCACTGGCTGAGCGAGGCGCGGGAGCAACACCGAGGGTTGCAATCCCATTGCCGGTCCCCGGTCCGGTACGGGGGCAACACTGAGGGTTGCGATCCGTTGCCGGACACGGAAAAAGACAAAAAAAGACAAAAAAAAAAAAAAAAGACATTGGGGATAACTGAAGAAAATTTAATATATAATAGCTATTTCATCATATTATATAATTGTTAATTTTATTAGGTGTGGTAATAGAGTTATGATTTTGTAGGAGAGTGTCCTTGTTCCTAGGAGATGCATGTAGAAATATTTTGGAGTAGTGTCATGAGGTCTGCAACTATTAAATGGTCGAACAGGGGCCGGCCTGGTGGTGCACTGCTGTGGTGCGCCGCTTGGGAAGTGCGGCAGCGCTCCCGCCGAGGGTTCGGATCCCACATACAGACCGGTTCCCGCTCACTGGCTGAGCGAGGCGCGGGAGCAACACCGAGGGTTGCGATCCCATTGCCGGTCCCCGGTCCGGTACGGGGGCAACACTGAGGGTTGCGATCCGTTGCCGGACACGGAAAAAGTCAAAAAAAGACAAAAAAAAAAAAAAAAAAAAAAAAA